CTCTTCCCAGGCGGCTGCGTGTACTGAGCCTCAGTTTCCCTGTGTGCACGACGGGGACAACGCCTACCTCACGTTATGCTTATGTTAGAAGCACGCGAGATTAAACGCGCAGGTGCTTGGAAAACACTCGGGTGGCTCTCACTGAACGTACCCATCTCTTCCTCCCCGGGCTCCCCGCTCTGCGTCCCTGCAGCGGCGGGGGGCGCTCAGGTCGCCTTCGGGTCTAACTGGCCTGGGCGGGGCGGGTCTGGCCACTCCGAGCCCCGGCCCCGATTGCCCCGCCTTCCTGCAGGGGCACCTCCGCGCTCGCGGCTGCCCTCCCCGGCATCGCCCGCGCTGGCCAGCCTGCTTTGCCTTCCCTGGGGCAGACCGGGCACTGGGGTGACTGCACACGATTCCAGCAGGTTCGCTCCCGTGTTGATTTGCTTCTTAGGTAAACTGCGTGTTTACCTGTATTTTCCCACTGTGCTCATAACAGAAATCATTAAAAAAAAATCCCCCAACTGAAAAAAGCAGCCGTCCAGGTTCCGTCCTTGTTAATGGAGCATGATAGGTTGAGGCAAAGTTAGATTCTCACCCGCTAGATTTGCTAGACGTGGGTACACACCTGGAATTCTGTTTCAGAGCCGGGGTCCCAGAAGTCCCAGCCCCCCTTAGCCACCGGCCTAGTGTCGGGGAAGAACAGCGCTGGGCCGAAAAGGCTGGGAGCACGGGAGGGGCGGCGCCCGCGGCCATCTGAGGTCCTGCACCCAGCCTAGGCCCGGTGTTTCCTCTGTGAACCTGCACCTTGATCGCGACCCACAGGTTTCTTGACATTTTTGCCCCAAGCAGGTTAACAGCAAGGAAAAAGCAATTCTATTCACCTGGGGCTATATTATAGTGGGGGAAGAGAGGCCAGCGGGCCTCCCTGTCTGCAGGTTCCCCTGCACAGATCAACCAACCCAGGGTAGGAAGCATCTCCATAACCCGCTCCCCAAGTCCTCGAGTTCCAAACAGCAGAACTGGAATCTGCCACCTGCAGAGAACGACACTCAACACACCTGACAAATGTGTGCGTTGCATTCGGGCTGAGAGTAACCTCGAGGTGAAGGTGCCTGAGGGCCAGCAGCTGGTGTGATGAAGGTGCGGATCCCACTCGGGCCACGGCAGTGTGCGCCCCCAACCCTGTAGCTTGAAAATCCCGCTGGAGGGAGCAAAATCCCAGGAGCAGAATGGAAGAGAATGGGCTGCAGGGTGGCCGTCCCCCTGGGGGGTGATTTCCCATTTTTCCTGCCTGACGCTCATGTGCCCTACAGCAAAAACCTAAAGTAAATGCCAGTGTACGGGAGGGCGCACAGAGGTTATGTGCAAATACAGTTTCACGTAAGGGACTCGAGCTTTTTGGTAACTGGAACCAACCCCTGCGGATATGGAGGGATGACCGTCACGTCAGTAAAAAGGCAATTACTTAAAAAATGCATGCAGCCTGTGAGAGTGTGAGACTTGGGGTGGGGTGAAGCACTCAGAAGGGGGTTATCCGCTGAACGGCAGCTATAATATATGGTGACATCCGAGACATAAACCAGGCCAGGAAACCAAGCCAGCTGCCCGGGACGAAGGTGTTCAGTGCCAAGTGGCCAGTGTGTTCGGGGCCAGCAGAGGCCAGTGTGGCTGGAGCAAGGTGCCCAAGGAGTGGAGCAGGAGACAGGAAGTGTGGGCTGGACAGGTTTCTGGGACAGGGAAATGCGAGCTGCAGGGCCCCCACCCCGGCCCACCCCACCAGGACCCAAGCCCCCAGCGTGGATAATACCCAGGTAGTCCCAGGGCGCAGCCATGTCTGCACAAGCGGCACCCGGCAGGCCGTGCCCTCCCCTCCAGAGGGCTGCCACGGGCTCCAACGCTGCCCCACAGGGCCTCACGCTGAGCTCTGGCCCTGCACCGTCCCCTCTGATCCCTGTGATGGGAAGCCCGGGCTCCAACGGGTGGTTTCCCTTCTCATCAGCCATGGCTCTGGACTCTGGAGAGAGGCCTTGCAGAGACGCATCTCCCCTTAAAGGGGATGGGGGAAGCTAGCTCAGGATTCCAGGGACCGAATGTTTTTGTCCGCGAGCCTCAGGCCCCAGGTTTACTTCCATCATCTGTGACAAGCTCCAGCACCCCAGGGGTCTTGCTTGCTCAAAATTGGTTTAGCCTGGAGAACGGGATCCGTCCCCAGCCCCCAGCCTCCTTCCCCCGGCCAAGGGCTGTGACAAGGGCTCTCCGGTGTCCCTGCACAGCACGTACAGGGACAGCGCGAGCGCCGCACCTGCGGGGTTCCTGTAAGGGTCACGGCTGTGTGTAAGGCAGAGGCTGCTGCATGTGGGGCTCGAATGGGGTAACCTGCATTCCTCCATGACCCTCACTTTCCCCTGGAAACTTTTTTGGAAATAAGGGTGAAGTTCCCCAGCCAACCCTCAGGTGCCTACTCCCTGTGTTCCCACCATCACCAACACGCACACCAGGACTGAAGCTTACCGATGCCCATGGCCAGGTGGACAATGACAGAGGCCCGTAAGGAACACTTGGCCTCCTCAGCCACTGTCCACTTCACTGGACACGCACGAAGCACAGGCAGGACACAGCGCCCTGCGCAGCCTCTACTCAGCCTTCGAGGTCTGCCCTGAGGCCTGCACTGGCCATGGTGGGCCAGGATCTGCCTCCGGGGCTTGGGCCTCGCTGGGAGGAGACCTGCAGCGGGGTTGCGGGTACTCCTGAGTGACCAGCTCTGGCAGCCACAGCTTCGGAGAGGC